TGTTTTCATGCAAGTCTCTCAGAGGTGCCTCTTGTCTCTTTGGTTGCTGAGATCGCTGAGCGGTGTTGCTGCTCTCGCTGCCTCCTCCCCCCTCTTTCCTTCACTCTCTCCCCTGACACCAGCCTCCTGTGCCTTTAAAAAGACAAGCAGCTTTTCTTTTTTTTTTTCATCTGCGACTGCAACTATGGGGGAGCCAAACAATAGCAGTTTCTCCCCCCAAATCCAGTCTGATTAAGAGACGCTTTCCCCTTCACTCTGTTTGTCCCTCACTCCCGCATTACCAGCACCTTGCAAATTTGGCTCTCTCCTGCCAGGGTCCCTCTGACTCGTGCAATGAGCTGCATAGTGAAAATGTCATTTTTGTGCCTCCTTTTCACACAATGGAAGCTTCCAGCACTCGGCTTAGCCAACCAGAGTGATGCACGGGGTAAACAATAGACTCTGAGAAACTATGCGTGAGTGTGAATGTGTGTTATTCAACTTCAGCTCCACTATAGTCTTCCCTTGAAGACAGTCGAACAGTGCCTCTATGAAAAAAAACACAAATTATAAAAACAAAGAAATTTTTTTTTTAATGCATTTCTGTGTGACATACAAAGAATGTTCATTGCCCTGGAAATAAGAGTAGAAACAATATATTTCCTACTGACTGTCAATGAGCAATAGGAAAGAGAGGCACTGGAAATATGAGAAGAATAAATCCATTGTAGACTCATGGGAAAGTGAGGAATTGAGGACTCACTACAATAACATTAGCCCGAGGGACTGGTAGTCACAGTGAGTTGCTGTATTGAGGTATCAGGTATCTTATCTTTGCCTGGGAGGACAAAAAAAACACAATGAAATGGGGAATCTCCAATTCCGCCCCCAAAACCTAACACAGCGTTTGAAAGGGGGAAGTGTTTGCATGTAAACATGGGAGTCCATTAACCCTGATTTTCACAAAGAATATCGATGTGATCTGAGACTCTGATGGGCATGACAATCGATATTCCACGACCCGAGGGGACAAGCAAACTCAAAACCCACAACTCACAACACAGACCCCTTCTAAAAAACATTGATCGCCCAGTGTTCCCCCAAGATTGGATGCTTTGGAAGGGGGGCAACACGAAAGTGGGTGGAGACTGGGTGTGCTGGGTGGGTGCATGTATAGACAAGTCTCCCCATCTGGCATTATGTGGAACCTTCACTAGGTCTTTTATTGCACTTAGAATAATATGTGATGTTTCATCTGAAGAGTGGAGAGGCTTTACACAAAGACAGAAGCATGGTGAACATGGTCGACGCACAAGGTAAAACCAAAAAAAGAGGAGAGAGCCTAGCACATCTGGAAAATGGAAACTAATCTCTGTGCAGAGAAATTAAGTAAAAAAACAAAAGAAGATGTTATTTCTATTCTTTTTCTACTCCTTTTGAGACTTCAGCACATACAAGTTCTAGATGATTCCATATACAGGCTGTAGTATCTAGGGCAGTGCTGTTTGTGGAGTACATGTTCCTGTCATATTGAATGTCTGACATAAACATCCACCTTTTGTCGCAGCTTTAAGGGCCTGGCCTTAAACTTGAGCTTCGACTGCACGCTGAAAAAAATGAAGAAATGAAAAATTCAGCAGACTCAGGCACTGGAAGATATAGCTCTGGCAGATTTATCTGAAAAATTCATAACGCCACTCAAGAAGAATCAGGTCATCACAATCCATATATACAATATACATATGTATATATAGCCCTGTTGAAGTCCTTTCAAAATGGACTTTAGGTGTATTAAAAATCCACAACATACAGCTTTGTCTGCATTAAATATGATTAGAAGAATGCAGGACATGTTGGAAAATAATCATTTAAAGCATAACTAGAATTTTATGATGTAGAAAGCTTCATTATGAAAGGAACTTCAGTGTAGCGGGTCCACATTGAGAGCAAGTAAAGTCTCAAAGTTAAAAAACAAACAAAACCAATTATATATCGAATAATGTGGCACCAAAAAAAAAACTTCATAAGAGACCACAAAAATTCGGCCCTCAGCAGTGAGCTGTAGAACGATCCATGGCTCTGTCAGCAGTAGGGGGCTTTTTGCTTCCATGGGTCACTGGGTCACTGCAAATCAAAGCTGTACTGAGAGTTCGCCTCCTGATTGGAGTGTTCACCTCCGGGTCACAACGCTCCCATCCACTGTGCACGAGGGGTCACCGACAAATATGTTACCAGTGACAAAGCTGTGGCAATAATCGAAAATGGGACACTAACTCCGCATTTGTTCATGTTTGTAGTGTAACTCCTAAGTACAGGGAGACTGGAATAGCTATGCTTTCGTTCCATTAAATCAAGAAGTTCTAGGATACATCTTACAGGAATCTTGACTTTAGATGACGACACATGCTCCTCTGATCCTCCTGCCTTAGAGCTGCTGACTGAGCAGAGTAGTCTCAAGCTTTAATTCTTATATGCCAAGAAAAACCTGCATTCCTCCCATTAATCACTTGTGGGACTGACTCCTCGAGTTGGCACTTACAGTACACTCCTCCACCACACCTTGAGATTCAGTGGGATTTCTTTTTGTTTAAGTAAAAGACGAGAGCAGGAGAGTAAGTGGAGCACCTCAAAATGAAAAAGAAGCTGTTAAATTGGAGCTGAGATAGCCATCAGTCTAGTATCCTGATTACAGTCATGTGGTCACGTAAAATAGCGGCGAGAACACATTTGCCACAAACACATTTCAAAGAAGAGCGTGAGTTGTTTAAATCCTATAATCTTGCTTTGTCCATATTCTGAAATACATGAATTGCCAATTAATGTAACAGCATGGGAGGAGCTTTTGTTTTGAGGGCTTTTGCCAGAATCCCGTCAGCTGTCAGGAACTTACTTCACACAAAAAAGCATGTCTCTAAGATGTGTGGGAGTCTTTAACGGATTAATTATTCAGAATATTTATTTAGGCTCTGTTGCATTCATCTCAATGTGATATAATTATTACTCTTGAAAATCAGAGTCATTTATGAAAAAGGGACAAAATATAAGTTTGTTTTTTGACGTATTGGCATTTTCATTACCTCATAGCTATAAAGGTCAATTTTCAATTAAAAATAGTTTTAATACTGCCCAGTGTATAAGTCAAATTAATGTCTAGGAGCAGAGAGGGTGTGGCACATGCACTCTAATACTATAATAACCTGTGTTTAAGAGGTGTTTTTGCAGTGCACATAACTCAAAACGCAAACTACAGATTAAATTTATATATACAGCCGCACTTGCACTGTTGCTGTGCGTGCAGATAAATGGGAAACTCGAGCATCCAATCAGAATATTCAGTCAATGTTGCCGCACTGGTGCTCCACTCCTCTCCAGTTCTATCTAACAGGCCTCTCAGATTTAAATAATGTAGCATCAATATGCTTGCCTTGCATTCTCAAAATCAACTCTTAGTGAGGGGTATGCTCACAAAGCTGAACAGTCACACAGTTTACATCTGCCACAACCCAATGTGCAGAAAACAGGTTTGGTCATTTGCTCTAATTGAGCATATGTGCATAATCTGGCACAGGAGAGCTGAGGTGTATTCATGTGTGCTCCAGGTTACTGCAGCATCCAGTCGGCAGAGTGCAGACACAGTCTGGCAACACAACATGAAGACTGGAGTCTGCAAACCCTCTGCTGGTGGTAAATGACACTGCAACAGGGAAAGTGGCTGAGTCATTCCTTCTAATATAATAAAGTCTATGATACAGTTGCAAAGGCCAAAAGCGGCTGCGGGGGAATGTTTAAATGAATAAACTATACTTGAAACAATAAAATAGTAATCACACTGTCAAGTAATTCAGTGAGAAAAATAATGTTTCTTAAGTTGAAACAGCCAGTTAAAGGTCAAGATATGTGCTATACCACATTAAAGGACTACTTGGTTAGACTGCACTGCAATAGTAAAAACTGCAGAATGTTTAAGCATCAATAGGTACATTTTGTCTTGGTGTTTCTGCTATTTTCACCATTAACAAGCCACAATTATACAGTATGCATTTGGCTTTCCATGACCACTAAGTTCACATTTTGCAAATCTTATTTTCTTTGAGTCCATGTGGTGGACATGCATAGCAATGGTATACTGTAATTTTGTCAGTGGTGTAATGAGACTGGGTGTTCACATAGCTGTGGTTCTTTATATAGAAAATGTCAACAATGCTGTGTATCATTTATCTATATATGGCCAGCACTGTCAGGAAATATATGTCACAATTTTTCATATAGGAATAAATCAATATTTAAGCAAACACACCTAATGCTTTCTTGCTGACCATTAGATATGACTGATGCCACCTTCATAGTAAATATGAAGCAGGAGCTTGTAGCTAGTTAGCTTAACTTAGCCCGAAGACACAAAATATAACCCAGTTCTCCCCAATCACAAGAAAAAACAACACATTTTATCTTTTTTTTCTTGGTTTGCACAAAGGATAATAGTGTCTTTTTTGATGTGCGTCTACTTCTCACTGGAAAAAAGTGTGCAGCCACCAAAGACATATTCAAGCACACAAAGATATACAAAGACAGATTTTTATATTTGGACAGGTAGCTTCTTTCCCCCATCTCACGTCTTTATGCTAAAGTAACAAAACCACCTGCCTGCTGTTTACTTGAACAGATGTCACTATACAATCAGCTAGAAACTACATAAGAATATTAACCACAATGCTAAAATAGTCCTTTAGATTTGAATATTTGAACAGGATAGATGATTGATTTTGACTAGTTTTCTGTTTAGTACCTCTAAGAATCAAGACTTGTTAGTCAAGTGTGCCAGATGTCAGTTTAATGCTGTAATTTGACCTGAACCTAATGACAGTTAACAGGATAAGGAGAAGACTACTTTTTGTGAAGCACGCTAAAGAGACAAGTGTCAGCAAATCTACGTCAAGGACTGAATGAGAACACACAGTCACATCACCTTTTTACAAGTGCCAAAAAGATGAAGAGGTTCAGGAGCAGCCACATGTTCATACCTTAAAGGGATATGGCAGGGTGCAGAAGCGGGGTAAACATCCTCACAGGGGTCAGCAGAAGATGCAGGAGGGGAGGCAGGGGCTGGGTGAGGAGGACAGGGGGACGTAGGCGGGGTCGGTAGGGCTTCAAGTGTGTGACCCTCTGGAAGTGTGGGGACGGAGGTAGGGAACTCTGCGGTGTCTCGGAAGTGAGTAGGAAGGAGGTGGTGATCGGAGGGTAGTGGTTGAGGAGAGGCGGGGGCCAGGTGACCGCTCTCTACTTTGTCACCGAGGGAGGGCCTGCATGGGAGGGAACACAAAACATCAACAAACAGACCAAAACAAGAAAGCCAAGTTTGGAAATTTGGAGTTCCCACTCAGTTTTTCTCCAAATTCCCATCCAAATGGCCCATGAAGTAAACTCACCACAGAGCAGAGTAAATGTAAGGAGGATCGCTCTGTTCTGTGCCATCACTTAAACCTAGCAGCGACTTGAAAAACAGAAGACTCGCTCCAACCATCCTAAGAACGTTTTGTCACCTCTCTCATCGCTCCCCTTACACGATAGTCCATGCTTGCCCTACTGAGAAGTAGCCCATTTGAGGGAGTGCGGCTCTGTCATCATTGGCCACCTGGTGGAGTGGATTTGGCACTGATCCAGGCCCTGCTTATCAGGAGTGGTAGGCTCTTCTAATCTGACAGGCAAGGCGATGGACGCCCTTGCAGCTGTTCCCCACTTGGGGCATGCCTCCTGTTTAGTGCTAAAAATATCCCAGTAGTCGCTTCTGGAAAATAGAGCTTCACAATGCCTCCATAAAGTAAAGCACATGTATCGTGTGCTTACGCTCAACCATCTGCTGAGCTGCACTTTTTAAATGCCCCTGCCAGCTCGTGTCAGACTGAAACAGAGCTCAGTTATTCGCCCTCTCTCTCCGCAGCAAAGCCTGAACTTAATAGCATTTAATGAGGGTGTGTGCTTTTCTTAAGGGCGCAGCAAGTTACAGGTTACATTTAACAATGTGGTTATTATCATTCCACTACAAAGCAGGGAATTTTCTAATTGATGCAAGGCCACTGCATACATGATTTTTAATGTTCTCTGAGTTCAAATCAGATTTTTTTTCTGTTTTTAATTTGGTCCCATTCCTCTTTTTTTTTTTTACCCACAATTAGAAACTTACACCAGAAGGCCAAAGCTATACATGTGCCAGCATCTGCGGCCAACTTGGCACATGCAGTTTGAAAATAGAAGCATAGAAGTGTCATAAAGCTCACTGCTGCCTCCGAAGATGGACAAAAGCGGTCCTGGGGGACATGAAGACAAAAACATTTTGTATTTTCTGACTCGCTGCCTTCTAAATGTAGCTAATATCAGCTGACCAGCTCAGGTTAACAGCTGGCGATTTCCAGCCGGGTTCTGCCTCCAGATCCAACGTGCATGAAGTAACAGAGGCTTCTCCTTCCAGAGTGGGATGAACAAATTAGATGGAGCACATGTGCTCATTTACAGCCAGACATCAAACAGCTTAGTTCTACTGTTGGCATTAACACCTGGAGTCTGCTCAATACAGAGTTTACTGTAAGTAATTCAGCTGTGCGCATTACTCAAAGGCACCTCACGGGCAGTTCAAAGAGAGCACAGATATGACAATTCTCAGAAAAAAGCACCGATCCTCTAACGCCCATGCTCATGACTTTGCCAACTACAGCATTCACGCCAAACACACGCACACAAGTTGAAAGCAACCAACAAGAAATAACAAGACACAAAGTCCAGAGAGTGTGTTTAATGAGTGTTTATAAGGATGACTGCTTAAGAACACACGAATGCGCGTTTCATAATCATTAGCCAATGCTGAGCTTAAAGTATTATTAGGCAGGCATGAAAGTGGGTTTTTTTTACTCCACTTGTGCCGGCACAGGCAAATGAACCTACTATTACCATGGCAACACATCTATTTACAGTACAATGTGGGTTATAGGACATCCTACCTCTGTTTTGAGAAATATCCCACATTCTGGGCTAAAGAGTCACAGCTGTTTTCCTGCGTTCCTCAACAGAAAAAAACTAGCTGTGCTGCTTTTTAGAAAAAAATTTTTTATATGATACTTTTATGTAATGCAGTCACGAGCCCTCAATGTTTCCTGGAAGACCCAAAAACATTTATTAAATCACAGAGCTATGATTTAGACTGGATTTATGGACAACTTTGATTGTTAGTGTTGATCTTTACCATTACTGAGGAGATTTCCAAGGAAGCGTAACGTGTTCTAACCTGTTTTTTCTTTTAACATGGCAGGAGGTGCACCTTTCATTTCACAACTTAGTTCTGGAAAAGCCTTCTCTTCCCTTCGTCTCTCTCTGCTCTTCCCTCCCCTCCACCCATCTGGTGAGGTCAGCAGAGGCAGAGCATAATTAGAACTAGTTACCTACAGACCATCTGCTGCATCCACCTGGAAGGACGTACGCAAACACGCACACACATGCACACATAAAACTACCAGAGCTACTGTTTGTCAACTCACCCAGATTTCAGCCATCACACGACTTCAGAGGTTACAGTAATTACAGTAAGCGATGGAAATGACCTGAACTCCAAAACAGCGGAGCCGATGACCGCACGTCCCAGTCCTCCTCTCCTCTCTCTTTGACTCTCGGACTAACTCTGTCAAACAAACTCGCACCGCAGCACATGCTCGAGTGTTTCTCTGAACCCTGGCTTTTGTTCCACTCTGTCTGGTCTGTGCAAATGACTTCAGTGGGGCTGAGTGCCTGCCCAAATTCCTCCCACTACAAGCTTCAGTTCACAAAGCCGCACAGACTGAGTAGGACTGACAGCTCGGACAGCCTTCGGGGGCGGAGAGAAAAAAAACACAATGTACACACAGACACACACACACACGCGTATCATATCATATATCATATGCTGTCACGTTTGTTTCTGTGGCACATGTACGCAACAGTAACTGTATCTTTTGATGAAACCTCAGGGAAATAACATTCTTCCTTTTTCCTGCTCTGAACAATGCTGTGTGGATCCAACAGCAGTGATGGGACAAGTGTTGAGACTGACAGGCAGCAAGTGCTAATCTGGCATGTGGGATGGCTCCACGGCATGTGGTCGGAGACAGTGACAAATAAGGGAATTTGAGTTAATGAAGATAGGCCGAAAGGGATGGATCCCACGGAGAGGTAAATGTTAAAGCATTGTGCTTTTACCTAATTCTAGTGAGAAATCTGGCTTTTCGCTAAAGGAATTAGTCAGTCCAACTTGTGCTGCTGAAATGCTTACATTAACACTGACTGATACACTGCTTTACAGCGCTTATTTAACTTGGAAATTTCAACAACTACATATAAACCAGTATACATCTGAGATTCTTATTAGTTCGTAGGCACTGTTAAACCTCTGTAGACAGAACAGTCACCCAGACACCGTTGAAGTGTCTGAAAGCCAAAACAAATCCACCAAGGTTGTTTTCCAAGCACACGGAAATCAGTTTTAAATGTGCGGCACGCACAGCTGACCTGTAAAGCACATGTCCCCCAAATCTCCCTATTTTACACACACGTTCGCTCCAATGAAATGCATCTGATAGATCAGTACAAAGGAAATGTTATGACAAAATCTCCTTTGTTTGAATTATAAATGATCTCCAGTTGGGAAATCACTAAACCACAAAAACTTCAGTTCAGCTGGGGGTTAAATGGACGTCTTTTCTTGAATCCAGACCCCGAATGCGGTGTGAAGAAGAGCGAGTCTGTTGGTTAAAGGAGTTTCTAAGGAAACATTAGTTGGCTGTTTTACTTAAAGCGGTGAAATGTGTTTCCACTGGAAACTGTGGGCATCAATTCAAAAATATGACAAGCATGTGATACAGACAGTAAAAACACTCACCCACTGTCCCGTAGCTCTGCAGCTGGATCCTGAACAGCCTCTGTCGCTGCAGTTTCCTCAGCTAGGACTTCAGCTGGCTCCACGGGCTGGATGTCTAAAGGTTTTTCCACTAGCTCCACTGGCAGCTCGCTGACCGGCTTCTCCTCTGACTGTGGGGACTCTGTAGTCGGCTTTGTTGTTTCTGGTTCTTCATACTTTGCTGGTTCTACGAGCTCATTATCATTAGCTGTTGGTTCTGGGATCTCATCTGTTCCTTCTCTTGCCTGTTCCTCATTCACTACTTCTGTTGAAGTAACTTGCTTCCTTTTTGGTTCTTGAACCTCATCTGGATGCTCTTCTTCTTCTTTCTTGGCTGCTTCTGGAAGCTCTGCCTTTGTCGTTTCTTCTTCTTCTACTTTTATACTCTGCGGTGGTTTGGAAAGCTCTGCTATCTCATGTGCTGATTCTAGGAGATCTCCTGCCTTTTTTAAAGGTCTGGGAAGGTCTACTGGCTTCTTCACAAGATTCACAGGTGGGATCTCTGCTGTCTCCTCCGCTGCTAGTTCTGGTGGTGGGGTCTTCTCCTGTCTCACGGGAGCTGCTATCTCCTCAGTCGGAGTGAGAAACTCTTGTTGAGGAGACTCCAGAGATGGAAAGGGTCTGAGAAAAAAACAACAGAAGAAGAGAAGAGGGTGGGGGGTTTGTTGTTTAGTTTATAGCACATGCTCAAGGAATTACTCACAAATCAAAAATGTGTGTGTGAGCAAGAGGATGTGTGTGGGTGAAGTGCTCTAGGTATGTTGTTGTATTGTGTTGAGCAGTGTGTTTTGTGTAAGAAAGGCTCATTCTTGCCCCGGGGACCAGGGACGATGTCACGGCTGATGTCACTCTTTGAATATAAAGGGCTGCATTACTTCCATTAGACTCCAACAGGCACAGTCATCTGACCCGAGCTCGAGTTAATACAAAGTGCAGCTCTGTGTTTACCTCCTCATTCATATTCATTGTCACACTGCTCTCTGTAATATCCCTTCAAACAAGCCTTGAACATGGTGCTACTTGAATGCTAAGTTAGGGGAACAAAATGCCAGAAATCTTTGGTAAAAGACACAAAAAAAAAAATGTAGCTGTTTGTCCAGTTCATAATTCGTTCCTTTCCTCTTTCTATTTTCTTTGCCTTTTCACGCTGAGCTTTAACATGCAACATGATACATCTGTATCACTGTGAGGTTCTGACTGTGCTGCTCTGATCTGCAGTTCCTAACATATTTGGCTCATATGATCATTTTAAATAAGCACACGCTCTTTCGTTTACCTTAAGGCATCCACTGGGTTCACTTGTTCGCTTTGAGAATGGGATGCAGCTTCCCTGAGCGCTTTTATCCAGTTTGTGTCTGCTTCAGCAGCTTCTACTTGTTCAGCAGGAGGGCGGCGGGCTGGAGCTCTATCGAGTGATTCTGATTCGCACCGAGCGGCAGCAGCAGTGGGTTTAACCACAGTGTCATCTGGGGGCTTTGACAGTGGCACCACATCTTGTGGTTTCTCTGAGTGGGTAAGAGTTTCGAAATCTTCTAGGCATTTTGATGAAACAACAGATGGGCCTGTGTCCACGTCCGCAGTCATTTTTTCTGTTGCATCACTGTCACTTTCCCTTGCCTTACAAGGACCGGTGTTGCCATCAGAGTGACACACAGCAACCTCCGTGCTAATCTGTGCCTCCCCACTTTGGGAGTTGCCTAAAACGGTGATTGATCCCGAGCCCATTTCTTTATCACTTCCTGCTAAATGCACAACCCCCTGCTTTCCCAAAGCTCCACCATCTATGACTTTTATCCGATTTTGTTCCTCACCCTGCTCGCTAACATTCCCTTCATCCAAGGCTTCTTTATCTTCCTTTGTCATCTCCTCAACATCAGGCCCTTTTATGGGTGTTTGTTCTATTGGGCTGTTTTGTGTGGCTGAGGTTTTATTGGGCCTTTGCAGCCCATGAGGCCTGGACACTGTATCCTGACTTTCACACGCAACGCTTTCACTACCGGTGATTTTTAGAGCCACGGCAGCACTGAAATCCTCTCCTCCAGTTTCTGGATGCGCAGCAGGATCTGGCAGAGAGCTGCATGTGTGCATAGGAATTTCACCAGCCTGGTTTGTACTTGGTGAAAAATCTGCATGAATAGCATCACTAGCTGTGCTATCTTTAGTTAAAATGGGAATATGAAAAGATGAGCTTTCGTGTTCCTGTGAAACAGGCTCAACAGATACAACCAGATTCTCTGACAGCTCGGATTTTCTACTCTGCTCTTGACAGACAGCTGATAGATCACATTTTTGCGGATCTTTATCAATCAGATCACTCACAAACCCAGTGTCTGGCATTAAATCTCTACCTGACCCCTCTAACCCTGGGCTTTCATTCTCATCTGTCTCCTGACTTGTCTCACTTACATGAGAGTAACCCGCTGCTATCCCTGCATCAGGTGAAGCATTTCTCCCATCAATTTCATTTGAATCAAGGGAAGATGGCAACCTATGAACCTCTAGTGAAGCATCCTCGCCTTTCACTGACTTTATCACTCCTTCATTGCTCATGCTGGCATCACCTGCTAACTCATCCTTGCTTCCTGACTGACAAATATCCCCAGCAGAGCTGTCTCCTTCCTCTGTGGCTCCTTTTACTCCCTTAACCAGTGTCTGGGTCTGATCGTTAGCCTTTTCTCCCCCCTCTAGACAGCCACCTGACATTGCCTCTGTGGGATGTCTGGATCCCAGATACTGTTGATGGTGCTCCTGTTGCTGAGCAAAACAATTTGGATCTGGTGTGGACTGTGATTGGCCAAGAGCTGCACTCAAATCTGGTGCAGAGTCAGAGCTGCATTCCAGCGCTGCTGTCGGAATTTGGCGCAAACTGGAATCATAAACAGTCAGAGGTTCGCTACTAGACTCTAAGTCAGCACGCAGCACGTCCTCGGATGACCCCGGAAATCTGCTGGGAGATGAGGAACAAGTTTCAGTCTCGCTTTTGGATTCAAAAGTGTTCTTTATTTCTTTTTCCTTCTTCACATCCTTTAATGACGATTCACTCTTTTGTCCCATATGTGCATGTGGTGGCTGCAGGGCTCCAATTTCTTCTATAGTCTCTTTATCTGCTTCATTATTCTGTTGTGGCATTGTGCCTGTCTTTCCTGTCTGTTGCTTGCTGCTGTCTGCTGCTTCCTTTTGATTATCCATTGCTGCCTCTTTAGCTTGTTTCTTTTGCTCTTCAAACAACATGGCGGTCTGATCTCCCATTATGTGGTTTTCTTTCACATTGTCCCCTTTAATTGTATCATAAACCTCGTTGGCGGGCAGGTCGGAGTTAAATGGGTAGCTGACATTTGTGATGTCATCCCTAATGGAGGCTTCACAAATAATAGGTTTAATGCCAGCAGAGTCTGGCACTGTTTGAGATAGAGGAATTACATTAGCAGGTTTATTTCTTGTCACTGCATCGCTGGGAGGCTGAGGTGGAATCAGATTTTCCTCTTGTGATAACTGACTATTTACATTACTGGTAGCAGCAGACTCTTTAGTATCAAAATTTAAATTCTCCAATTTTGGCAAGACCTCATTAGCGTTAACATAGACATCGCCGATCTCAGCATGCTGTGCTAATGAAGTGTGTGTCACTTCTCGGCTCTTATGGGCATCCACCTCTCTGGAGTCACTGCTGCTGTCACCATCAGCACTGCAGTTATATGCCTTTTCAGAGACAGATGCATCAGAGTCGGTAACGAACTCTAGGTGACTCAACATTGGGCCAGGAGGCTGCAGCTCAAAAGCAGGATTACTGACACACTGCCCGATAAACGTGCTTGACTCGTCAGACGCCGTCACTTCTGAAGTCACCCACGCGTCCTTTGTGGGATCGGCAGAGCCGGTGGGGGACTTGGGCCCTTCCCCAGCCTTCGTAATATCTGGGTTAACTGGCTCGTTAGGAGGTTTTTCACCTAATTGCATAATAGGCTGATCAGCTGGGTCACAATGCTTCATCTGCAGAGGAGCTGCGCAAGTCAAGGTCACAGGTTCAGATGTTGAACTTGTGTCAACACCACTTAAAGGTGCACAGTTATGCTGGTTCCCTTTGTTTTCTTCAAGAATGACAGGAGTAGCACTTAAAGGTGATTCCTGAGGCTGGTCAATGTCAGCTGTACCTTTAGACTCTGCCACCACCTTCTTAATCTCCTCCTCCTCCTTGGGCAAACACACAATTGCAGCATCTTTCTGTGTCTCCGCCTCTGCCTTTGCTGTGACCAGTTCAAATGTCAGATGATTTGACTCAGAGATGGCACTTCCTGGTGGTTGTAAAACATCAAAGCACCCTTTATTACCAGCCTGAGTCTCCTCAGCAGGACGTGGAAGCTGTTGTGAGCTGTTCACCGACTGTGAATCTACAGTGTTTGTCTTCAAACTGTCACTATGTGATTGATCTGTGGCAATGTTCTCCTTTGTTTCTTTAGTCCTCGTGTCCCCTTTAGCCAAACAGACATCTTTCTGTGCCTCTGAAAACGCAGCTGCTTCATCCTTGGTAGGAGCTGGATTCATAGGGATGTCTGGCTTCTTTGAGTTGAGAAAGTCTGTGAAAGTATAGCTGGCCTCAAAAACAGGATGACGCAACTGCTCGTGAACAGTCAGCGGGGGTAAAGACGCACAGTCCAGGGCTGGCACCGGCATGGTCTTGAGATCCACGGAGGAACTGCCCATTTCCTTCTCTGCATCCATGAAGTGAACTCTGTTACCTCCACTCCTGCCACATAGATACACACCGACTTCAGACATAGCGGTGCTACCACTGTTGCTCTGTCTATAGGCTTCGACTTGAAGCTTGGCTGCACTTTCGACTGTCTCTGCTTCTGTTGTGCTACTAGGCTGAACCTGTTGATTGTTGCTCGCTTGTTGCTTAACTGGGATTTTCTCTGAAGTGATCAAATGCTGGCGTGAGGTTAAAGACGGGAAGACTCGACTGTAGTTTGTCTCTGTGACGGATGACTCCTCGAAAGTGCGTCCCAGAGCCAGCCCTTCCTCTGACACTAACTTCTGATCGAGATCGGCCCGTCTGCCTCCGCTTGTTTTACTGTAGCTCTGCTCAGCGTCAGGGAGGAGAGGTGAAATTGTTGCGCCACGGTGCTCCCGGCGGGGTCGACAGAGACGCTCCTCTTCGGTGCAGATGCTCTCAGTGATGGTAGCGATCGACTCCCTCCAGCTCTGTGATTTCAGCTGTGACTCGGCAACATCGGTGGGCGGACACCTTTCAGTCTGAGCAGATGACAGCCCACTAGCAGAGCCTTCTGGCTGGCTGAATGAACTGTGCTCTCTCACCAGCCCTCCTTTCTCTACCACCTCCTCTCCTCCTCCCTCTCCTTCTCTCTTTGATCCCGCGGCAATGTGATCCTGACAATCAGAACCAGTAAGTAGCCCAAGGGGAGAAGTATTGATATAAGCCTCTAAGCACTGTGGCTCCTTTTCTGCATCTCCCTCTTCGGCCGGTGACAGCTCTCTGCGCGAACTCCGAACGGTCGCCTCTCTCGGTGCCTTGATTTCGCTCTCGGCCGAGTTGTGTGGCATTTTGCTGGTGCAGCTTTCCTCAGCTGCAGCCGGTCCCTCTTTGGCTGACAATGCAAGTGAGCATTTTGCCTGGGAACAGATTAACGCGAGCCGAGAAGGGCTGCCCAGGACTTCGTCCCTCTCTCCGTCTGCAGAAATGAGGCACTTTTCTGTCCCTCTCTCCTCTACTCCTTCCTCACTCTCTGCAACTGCTCTAGCAGCTACTCTCTCCACTAAATCACACCTCACGCTTTCTCCCTCTCCCTCGCTTTCTATCACTTCTGGCAGTGTGGGTGTTGTCAGTGGCAACGCAGTAACCACCGCTAAAGCCTCTTCAAGGACGCTCTCCATGCAACTCTCTCCCACACAAGTTCGGCTGTTGGAGAGTGGGACGTGATTCTCGGGTGTGAGTATTTTTGCTTCTGTAACTGAAGCCTGGCATGTTTGTGTATCTGATCTCTTATCACTAGAAGCAGCTTGATTGATCGCTGTATTTTGGACATGTGTCACGGGTATATTTTGGTTGCTGGTTTCACCTCCGGTTACATGTTGCCCCCACTGCAGGCTTTCATTGGAGATTTTATTTATGCTGCTTAGGGGATCATTATGGTTGTCTGATTGATGAGGCTTCTGCAAAAGAGCCCGCATGGGTGCAGGTGAACAGGCTGAGGGAGTAAGATGATCCTGACTGCTATGAGGAGATGATAGTAGGGAGCTGGATGTGGGTTTTCCTTCAAGCTGCTCCTTGTAATCAAGCCTGTTGTCAGGGTGTTGCCCACAAATCACAGGACCTGAAGGTGAATCTGTGGGGTTTTCAGCATTTATGACTTCATTTTCAGATTGCACTGCTGTGCGTGCCTCCTGCCCAGTTTCCGGGCTTTTCTCCATCTTTTTCTTTTTCCTGTGTCTCTTTTTCTTTGCCTCTTTGTTCTGGGCGGCCTGTTTATCACCAGCTGAACTCTGCTTGTATGTGTCTGATTCCTGCTCCACAGTGTGCTTGCCTGCTCCTGTCTGTCCTTTTGATTGCAGCTCTGGTAATGCGTCTCTATCCCTTAAACGAGGGCTACGCTCTGATGTTTCCATAGCTGAATTACCTACCTTTGTTTCAAAACAAACACCAGCACTGAAATCATCACTTAGATTTTCTTCTTTGTCTGTCTTTGCCTCCGTGTCTTTCTTCCTAATCACTACATCAGAGTCTACAGTGCTACTCCCCCCCACAGATGCACTGGAATTAGCATTTCCCTGTCTTAGATCGTTTGTATGATCACTAAACACAGCCTGTTTTGGTTGTTCTCCAGCTGAATATGTTGGCATTTCTAATTGTATTTGCGTGGGTGCTTCCTTCTCTTCATCTGTCTTAATTTCTTTTTCTGCTTTCAGGTTTTCAGTCTCTGCTGTCCCATCATTATTCACAGTGCCTAGTATGTAATCCCTAAAACTAAACACAACTGTATCCTTCTGACTGTCTGCTGTCTCACTGTTTCCATGTGCATTTCTGTTTCCATGGCCCCCGTTGCTATGTCCTAGCTGGACAACGATTGGAGGTGGAGACGATGACTCACTGGACTTGTTAACCATCACTTTTCCGGTTGTATTCCCTTCATTGCACCACGTCCCGGGCTCGGGGCTGCAAGGCTGAGTGGGAGTGACTATGCCCAGTGACACCAGTTGTTCTTCACATTCTTGGAAGGCCTCTTGGAGTTCCCGGTCTAAGAATGTGGATGGGGAAGGGGCCAGGGGTCTGTTACCCGGGTAAGGTGTGGCAGCAGGCTGAGTTAAGAGCTGGACATCTGCGACAAGTGGGTCGCAGCCGTGAGGCCTGAGGCAAGGGTAGGGTGACAGAGTTAGGAGTACACAGAAACAGCTGCCCAGTGGAAGGCCATGCTCTGACACAGCACTCTGTGACATGCACAGATGACACACAACTGCACCCGGGATGCCTTTTCTAAGATACAGATTCTCTTACAAGAAATAATATCAGCCGTTTCTAAGAATACAAGACGGTTGTTAATGGACATGCACTCCAAAATTCATTGCAGTAAGTAGCATTTGTGCAGTTTTACTCACCTATTTCAAACCCTGCTGCAACACGCCTTCAGCATCTCAGTTTTTTGGTATGATTTTCTTATTTTCAGTGTGTATCAAAAGCTTAAAAGCCTAGCGAAATTTATCATCTAATTAAAATGATTTAATTTCTTATTGGAACTATAAATTATTTACTGTAGTCTCATCATACATTAGTTTGATTATATATAATGAGAAATAGTGTCAAGTCATTCATCCTGATTACAGTGATGGGTAGTTTCTGGGTTATTGGAAACAGTTTTATAGCCTAAATAATTTAGCATTCGTGCTACTTGAATGCCATTCATCTGCACCTGCTGAGTCACTGCTAAAACATTACCTGCATTAAAGGAAAATGAGGGACCATTTTAATCTTTCATGCTGTCTGACTACAGAGAATAACCATCATTATTAAGCTATAATCGTCATAGCATAGTCCGTTCAAGTTTCGTTATTTTAACGCATTCTTTTCTAAAGAAGTTCCGATAAAGCGAGTAGGAATATCACCGAGGATCACTACGAGGGATTGGTTAACACAGTCACACATGACTTCTGCATAAAGACTCTGCCAGATCCTTGTAAACACAGCGTCTGTCCTCACATGTTCACTTGGCAGTCTCTGCTAAAGGGTGGAGAAGCAAAACAGACTAAACTGTGTGCAGGTGTCCAGTTTTACTACGCAACAAAGCAGGAACTCTGCTTTTTCAAATGATTTGTCCTTTCTGAAGCTTTGATATTTCTAGTTATTCAAAGCTTTTCACTTGTTTTACCTGTACATTTTTACAAATTCACATCAAGCAATGATACTTATACTTCTGGTTGACAGAAGACATCAAAGCATCAGAAGAATTAGTGCATTTAACTTTAGATAAAAGCAGGCAACACTGACCACATCAGACCATGTTAAGGCGTGATTGCTGCAGAGCCACAGCAATCATACCCATCACGCTCGAGCATAAGTTAGAAACATTAGATCACCCTGCCATCTTCTTGTTCCTCTCCATGCTCCCTGATTTCACTCTTTATCATCACGTCTTCTGCTGACAGCACAGAGGACAGCCGTCTAGCCATCATCATGCTGAACCTATGAGGTACCTTGAATCTTGAAACAGCAATGGTTGACTGACTTCTATGTGATGCTGCAGACCCGCCAGCAGGGGGTTCACCTGTTCACATTTCCTGTCACCTGAGCTGGTTTTAGCTCTGCTAACACAAACCCACACACACATATGCAGACATATTCACACATGAAGCAAATCAACAACAGGTTTGCTTTCACTCTGACTAAATAAACTGTTACAAGTGTGTTTCCTCACAGCCATAAAAAAAAGTAATATTTAACGTATTATACAGTATTATTAGTGTATGCACATACTGGCCACTTTATTAGTTATTCCTTGCTAGTCTAGGTTGGACCCCTTTTCCCTTTAAATGTAAAAAAAATGTAACGATGAAGGAAATACATGGAAACTGCAGATGTTCCAGCTAACAGAGCATTCTGATCGGGTATATATTTAACTGTCTATTATTACACAGACAATTAAAGCTCTAAGGGCAAACTGAATCTACATTTAATATTTATTATGAGAAGTATTAGGAACAACTGGCGGATAGTTCTGGCAATATAAGAAATATGTTAACATGTCAGCTTATTTTGATATTTTTCCCAAACTTTTGTTCTTTTTTTCGGAGATATATGTTTTCAGTATTGCTCACTTTAAACTAGAAAAAGAGAAACTTGAGAAAAACCAGAAAGTTATGACAAAAAAATATCCCAAACACACGAATCTGTTCAAGTCGTGAGAAGGAGAAAAAGGAAAATTCATTTTTCAGGCCTTTAAAATCACCTGCGGTACACAAAGCCAGCAAAAAAATGCGTGGGTAGTCATTTATGAGGCCTATTTGTCACTAATGGAAAAAGAAGAATACTTACTTTTATCGGCAAGTAGACAAAGAAACCAAACAATTGTAGCCGTTTACATTCCTCAGTACTAAAGAGTCTTTCTAGAATGAGTCTTTCTTCATTTTGTGATCGTCACTGATGTTTATGATGACATTGACAAAACTGCCAGGTTTAATCTTGCACTATCAATTCTGCCACCAGCACTAAGAATCAGCTCTGTCTCAATGATTTTTTGCCACTTGTAGCAGCAAATCAAACCTGATAATCCTCATCTGATTATGCATGATAAAGCCAAAAACAAATTGCCAGAGCATTACCTCAATTCTTAAGTCAGAGTAGTTAAAAGGACCTCTGTAAATCGGCATAACTTGGAACCATCCCAAAATGGTTGTGGTGTTACAAGTACAGTCTGTGTTTGGGCGCAGATCTGTTACGTAACGCCACCAGATGTCACCAATTATATAAAAGATTCAATTTAAGGGGGAAGATTTTGTTTAGGGTGAGTGCAGGGCTTCAGGTTAGAGGAGTAGTGATTATGGTTAGAGTTGGAGTAAGTATCCAGGAAGTTATGTCTTCTGAAGTGTAAAAGTCTGTGTGTATGTGTGTGTAACCCCTCCACTTACCCCAGTGAGGACTCCCAGATGTTGAGCTCGCTGCTGAAATCTAAACTGGGCAGCAGGTCGTGAGGAAACTCAAGCTCCTCCTTGTCCTCCTGGTCTGCGGCCGTGCCTCGGCTCTCCTCCACCCCGGTGATGACTGGGATGTCTGGCAGCACGGGCTGAGACAGCAGGCTGTGCTGGCTGGTGGAAACCTCGGTCAGTAGCGCTCCGTCGTCCCTCTGAGTCGAACTCTCGGCTCGAGCTTCAGCCTGCAGGAACGGTGAAGGATACCAGTGAGCTACACGAGGGAGTCTGCCACACAACACACACACACACGTGTATACTTAAGCAAGTGTGATCATGTCGCGGGCAAACACGGGAACACCCACAAATTAATGCTCAAAGCCAGACATCACATGAGCAGATAACTCCACCCATGTGTTTATTTGTTATAATGTAAAGGCCACACTGGCTGAACTACGTCCTTCCACTCAGACGTCTTATCTGATACGTCTCTCAACTTGCTTTTCTTATGCTATTAAAAGATTATTTCCAGTATTAAATCCTAGCATTTATCCCGGCTCACTGCAGTTTAATCTCTGCAGCTTTGTTTACACCCCACATTTGAGCATGTCCTCTGAATGGGACAAAAAACAACTAATGAATTGAAAAATATTGTCATCAGAAGTACTTTCCACCTCACAAACACCTCTGAGGAAATACAAATGTATTTTTTCCCAAGGTGTTGAAATAATAATCATTAAAGCCAAACCAGTTTTGCTGGATGGTGACAAGCGTAATTAAGCAGCACAGACAAGAGCAGGTATTTTGGATGATATCTTCTGCTTCAGATGTGTCTTTATCTGAGCCAATCATTTTTCCAAGCAACCTGAAATACAGTAAATGAAATAATCTGAACTCTCATCTGCTTTTTATTTCCTGATTGTTCAACAGTCAGTTGGAAAGGATATAGCCACAGCACTCGCTATGAGGACAATAACAGCCTCACGGTGCACAACACTCAGCTAAGCTGCAATGCAATAGAGCTGGGGTGCTCTTGTCTGTGGATGGAGGTGGAGAGTCGGAGGTTATTTTTCTTATTTCTTTTCATTTGTTTCGCGTGTCCAGATTTAGAGATCTAACACAGCCCTGCCTGTTATATTTAGTGTTTCCTTTTTTACACAGAGATCCTGATTTTAGCCAGTGAGTTGATTTCACGTGTGAGTATGGATACAGCCACACAGTGGTAATGATATCCTTTGAGGATCTGCTGAGATTCAGTATTAAAGCACATTGATTATTTATGAATCACTCATAGCTGGCGTGCAGTCATTGCAAGCAGAAACGAAGGTTAAATCAATTCAATGTAGCACTTACACGAGAACAAGTTTTACCTTATATACACTTGCTTTAGCGTCTTCACTCATATGATGTGATTACAGTAATGCTGCAAACTATTTCAAGCCAGAAACAAAAAAATATATTCAAGACCGACTAGAAAAACACCAACTTACACTGGAGCTTCGCTTTAGCGCTGTATTTCCTTAATGTGGAAACTGGAGACACATTAACAAATAAATTTGTGCTGCAGGCTCTGAGTCACTGGCCTCACCTGTGTGACCAGAAAGAGCCTCCTTTGTGGGACATGTTAAGCACAGAATGTGCTTGCATGAACACACACAAAAATTGTGTGCTAGACTTTTAAAAGACATTTGCACAAGAATGGTGTCATGCCGTCTTAGTTTATTTTTAAATGTTCTAATTTAGATTCTTTTTTTTCTCGTTGTAGCAAGAAACCCAGCTACACAACTGGCTGCAGAAGAGAAGATAAAACATTAAAAGAAACCGGATGCAAAAAAAAAAGGCCTGCTGCAGGTATGAGTGTCACTCTGAATGTCTGTGATCTCCCTGCTGCTCCTATTTTCTGGATTAATGTTATATAATCAGGTGTTAAAACAATTCCTTCACTCCTTAACAGTGATGCACGCTGGGATCAGCACAGTCATGAGAAAACTGTATGTTGCCATGTGTCGAGTTTCCTGTTTCCTGCCTGTCATGCAAAAGACAGAAAACATACAACCCGTACCTTTTCCAAAGTTTACAGCAAACACTCATTCAACATTTCTTAAAAGGTCATGAGTGGGGGTCACATGTGGAAAGTCAAGAAGGTGGAAAATCACACCTGCTCTTCGTTTGTTCGATCCCTACGCAGAAAGCACCTTTTGTTAATATTTAACCCACAGGAAATAAACGAAAAGCCACAGTGAGAGACAGCGAGGCTGACTGGCTATTACTGCCTGTGCAGCAAATACTCTCTATTCAAAACGTCAATGCTCGAGCCCTGAAAAAAAGCCTTAATGCTTCACACATGACTGCTGTAAACATGAAAGAGGAGTGCTGAAGAAGGAACAGGTCCCCTCTTCACCCACAGACACACAAAACCGACTCAACATATCCACTCCATCCACCCTCCTGTATAAAACACACCTTTGATTGCATGTCCTATGAGCTTTATCTCATTTCATCTCTCTTGCACTTACCCAGCAGTGTGCTCCACTGTCCTGAAGGTGACTCTACAGTGCAGTGCAGCTCCTCTGCTACCCTTATACTATGCTCACACTGTGCAGGCAGGCTCTGCAGGGCTCTGTGTTTTGAAGGAGGGCAGTCGAGAACACAAACATGCTGCAACACATGCTGCTGACGCTCCCGCTCCTCCTCTCCTGTACTTCCTTCTCCTCCTCTCCACAGCCCTGTCCTCTTTGTAGAGTCACTGCCGCTCCCCCTTTAAATTTCCATGAGCCTCCTCTGTTTCTTCCAGTGTGTGTATGTGTGTGTGGTCTCTAGAAACACTACACTACCAAACCTGCTGCTGCTGCTGCTGAGACTGACTAACTTGACTTGCGCTGGCCTCGTGGAAGTGCTGAGCATTCTCCTCCCCCTCTACTGTAAACTCTTTCCACTCAGCTCTCCTTCTGTCTCCTCCTCCTAGTCTAAGAACTTTCCCTCTTTTCTTTTCTTTCCTTCCCTATTCACCTCCTCCCCCTTTCTCTTGCTGCTGTGTCTTGTGGTTGGTAGCATTGACAGTGCCTCTGCAGGTGAATGCTGGGAATTGGGCCAAGAGTCAGGCCTGCAGTGACCCCCAAAGAGAGGATCAGGTTACGCTCTAGGAAGCTGTGGTTACACGTAAACGTGGGCATGTATGCCCTTTAGAGCCACAGCTCACCCCGCTGTCAATCAAGGGATGTCAATTCTGGATAAGAAACTTAACAACAGCTCCATAAGAAGCCGTCTCACGGATAAACTATTCCACAGAAGGCAAAACAAGAATTTAATAAAAACTCAATCAACAGACTCATTTTAAAATTCTGACTGACATAAGACTAGAGTTGAATAATAATGAAAATATAAAAATAACAACCAAGAAGAATCTGATTTGGCCTAATTTTATAAAACAAAAATTACTAATTGTGCTGTAATGTTATTTTGTGTATAGCCACATTTCTTATGCAAAGCAGAATTATGAAACCACGCCTCAAATTATCGTGAACAAATTGAAATTTTATATCAAATCTTTAAAATGATAAATGCTATGATATTCTTTCTTTTCTTTTTTCATTTTCTCTGTCTTTTTCATCTAATATTACACTCTATTGAAAACATGTTAAATAATGTTTATATGCATAAACGTTCATTGCATTGTTCATTGCACATCACACAATAATAGTTGAGTAGTTTAAAAAAAAACTTATGAATGTGCACCACAATTTCTTCCTGCATTGACCGCAGCTTCCTGCTTTAAATATGACCTTTCGATGAGGTTCACGTGCGTCATCACCACATGATTAAACATACTGATATGACAGTTCACTGTTTTTAAAGGTTTTACCATGAAAAAAACAACTTTCACCTTTCACATGGCATGAATGGGTTATGGTGACTTGATCATGATGAAAGTTGCTACGAACAGGCACAGTTTGAGTGGTAATACCCCACCCCAAAACAAAAAAAAGCAAAAAAGCAAAAACAAGAACAAAAGCCACAGCCATCCGTACCTGTGAGCACTACAAATATCGTACCCACACACAAGCTAATATTATCAAAGTGGCAGTCACACGTACACACACACATTGTACCTGCACGGAGTCATTTTGACTTTCCTTAGGTGGCAACAGAACAACATTTTCTGCAGCGCCCTCTTCTGGCTGTAACGAGGGAATGAAATGGTTCACAAAGAGATTTTTAAAGGAACAACTTTACATTAGATAGAAGCAGTTGCATGCAGAGTGCACTGAAAACAACTCGCCACTATTTTTTTTTAAGGGGAGTAGCATGTTAAGCTCAGTCAGTCTGTGAGTACTTAGTGCTGGAGCATATAGCTCATGAGTCAAATGTTTAAATTAATCCTATTAGGTTAATCCAGAATTCCACTTCTGAAGTCCTCCAGTCACATTTTAAATTCCCGTTTTTCTATAGGTGTCCTTCTTCTGGTATGTTTGTCTTTGTTATTAGAAGTGCACAACAGCAACATTGCAATAATGAGACACGCAACGGCCTTCTAAACATCATAAAGGCATGAATTATTATTAGGGTGTGTAGCAATGGGCATAGATTAAGACACATGCTGTGAGTCATTAAATAACACATCTGATCTTTATCGTTATCGCAGCTTTACGAGGGTAAATCACAAAATAAGACAAGCCATGTTATCTTATCTAAATGCTCATTAGACAAGTCTCAGCATTTAAAGCCCGTGTATTTCACCGAAGCAAAAAGTTAGTAATCATGCGACTGTGTTAGTTAAAAGAGCTCAAGGTGTGCATAGCAGCAAGTAGAGATCCTAGCTATCCAACGTCTGCAAGCTTGCCCTTACCAATGTTTCAGTCGTGCTGCTCTCGTTCCCCATGGCTTACCCAGCTGCAGGGCCACAACTGCCCAGAGCAACAGCCTCTCACATCAGCTGGCTGTAAGAAACTAGCAACAGAGACACCATCAGCGTACAGCAAGGTCAACAAGGAGACCTGGAGTCTGAACAGCCGTCCCTCAGTAGTCACAGACTCCTGCGTTACAGGATTAAAAGTCTTTGGTATGAGGTTAAACTTCTGTGGAGTGAGGGGGAATTGTAAGTGTGTGTTGTTTTAGAGATTAGGGACGTCTGATGCAAGAACCTTACACCAAGACCAAAGTGCAGGTTTCAAGTCTGCTGATGTGGCCTTAAATGTGGGAAAGCTGGAGCTTCGTTGGTAGAAGGACAGTTGAATTATTTTTTTTAATTGTTCTAAACATGAAATGTGTATTAGTTAGATTAATCTCCAGCTGCAGTAACTTTGTATAACCTCATGTCTAAAAGACATGAAACAAACGGACTCCCAGCATCAGAGCATCCATGCATCAGCACATTGGAGGATACATCAGATGCAGAAATATTCTCTCACAATCATCTCCTTGTCTCGTGAGGATACTTTTGTGTTGTCTGTAATGCAGCTGAGCCGTGAAAGGGAAAGGCCCGTTCATGCATTCCCTGTATGACTGCAGGGACTGCGTGGTAGCTCTGTTTAGTCAGAAAGCACTGACCTGAATATGCAAGACTTTATAAATAGATATTTGCCCTGTTCACTGCTGTTGACGTTTATTACAGTCTTATGCACAATTTTGTCACACAAACTAGATTTCCAAAAGCACGTAGAGGCCGTATAGTCCATCCGTGCAGTCAAAGCATGGCCTGAAATCATTTTTTGTCTCACATTTTTACATTAAAACAAAAGACAAAATGGACATCCTATCCTCACATATTAAATCACACCTATTCTGTGCTGCGGTAGCTTATCGGCCCTGCTCGCCTGCTTGCTATTTGTGTGATTGGGGTGTAATTTCAGCCCCTATAGTGACACGTGTGCACTTTAAGTGGCAGCAGCGTTTCGGGGCTTTTTGGCAGCCCAGAAAGCACTGAGGGGAAATCATGTGATTAGGCTGTTGCCAGTTCTCTTCTCACCTCATCACGGCCTGACCATCACTCAACGTGAGTAATCTTTTAAGTTCACGGGTTTGGCTCAGAGCCATGAATGTCTTTGGTCAGACAAATATGAGTTTGTCCATCAGCAGGTAAACAAACCGCCAAACTAAACAACACAACACGTAATTTCCCATAACTTTGCAAAACATTGATGTGCATATAGAGTTGATACATTTGTGATTAAACCCATATTCACCATCATGCCCACCAGTAACCGTAAACACTCACACTTAATCGAATACAGTCACACTAATCTCAGTACAGGTTTTAACAATGTCACCGTAATATAATCCAAAGTTTTAACACAGCTGCAACTCACCAAAAAACTACTCACCACGCCAAACAAAAGTCTTTTTTCTGCTACAGTGTGTGCCCCCCAGCTTTGACAAACCCCTCCAACCTGTGTTTACTGTCAGACTCAAGGCCAGTGTTTCTGTCCTGTCTTTTGAGGAGCCCCGGTTCCTCTGTTGCTATTTTTGCACTGGACGCAGGACAGGGACAGAAGTTGGGACAGGATCAAGGGAGGGAGGGAGGGGAGGAGACCGAACTGGAGCTGGGGAAGCCATGTCTGCTCAGGGAGTCAGTGGGCCGAGGGATTGTAAACAAAGACACACGTTATGGAGAGGAGGACGGCATGTCAGACCTCACTTGTCACGTAAGAGGCTGCAGATGGCGTTAAAGTGTCCAAACCACCTGTAGCATCCTTTAATATCTACACCTTAACATCTACTGATCCCCTCGATTTCAGTCTGGTGGTCCTCTTTTAAGTCCAACACCTCCCTGTAGATTTCCCTGTGACTGACGTGTAAGGACAACACCAACACACTCACACAGCAACCTGACAGATGGGAAGAATAACAAACAGGAGCCCAAGTTACAGATTTGACAACAGAGAGGCTTTAAATGTTTTTTGGATCCTCTCATCTGCCATCTTCAAAGGCTATTTTCAGCCAAGCGCCCCAGTGTGTGCTGATAGCATCATCCCTATAAATAACAGTACACGCATTGTTCACCAAACACACTTGTTATAGAGTTTCCTTATTTGTAGGCTGTGGACTAAATGAATCTGCAGATGTAAACAATCCCTTCTCTTGTCAGTCTGTCTCCCATCTTTCCTCGACTACGATCAGCCTCACACTCTCACGTTTATACTCAGCTCCTCCTTTCCCTACTCCCTGATCTGTCTCCGCAGCTCCTTTTTTACTGCTGACATCGCCCCTCCTCCAACACTTGAATGCACCTTCCCTCTCCCCGCTTTCTCCTCAGTAAAGACTCAGCACTTGACCAGTAAAACCTGCTATGGTTCTTCTCCCATGCTATCCCCTGCTTAGTCCCACAGACATGGATGCAATGCTGCAGCCAGTCTCTGACAGCCCCACAGTTTTCCACCTCTCCTCTGTTTACCTTGCCGTGTGGGATTCCGATGCAGCTCCCCATCTTGTATTCCATGTCCTCCTCTGGTGAAGTGACTCTGGCACTACACGGCTGGCAAAGCACCTTTCTGCAAAACTGCATCGTTGTTAGTCAGACTCAGCATTGCCAAAGCAGGAAGATCTCTGCAGGAGCTACAGAGTGAGGGTGTGCACGCCTCTGTGTCTGTGTGAGTGTGTCCCTCAACGACTAATAAACGCTCTGCATTGCATTGCCCATGGTGTCCCTCTGACATATATTTTCAAGCCATTGTTATATAAAATCTACATTACATAAGGAGTCCAACCTAAATCAAATCAGAGTGAAAAAAGGGAGCCACTCTTTCCAGTCTTAATGCAGCCTCACTCTACATCAGTGCACAGGGTGAGCAGACTGAAGCACTGCTTTGGAGGGAAAAAAGCTCAGAGTGGGAGAGAGGAAGAGATGGGAGGCAGCACGAAGTGTGCCTGTCTCTTTAAAAGAACCAAGATGATGCTGGTACATCATCATGATGGGTATGTTTGATAGTATCAGTGCATTCAGCCAAATGAATTCGATCATACTGATATTCACTCAGCCAATATGGAATAACAAAGAAACCCAATAGCAAAACAGAATAAAGAACTTTTATCTTTTAGCTGTTTATCGATTTAGCTGTTTATTGTTTAACTCAACCTTTTTGTTACATTTTTGTAGCATAGTGACAGGGATATATCTATACCTGATGAGTTCCTGACACCTACAGAGAGGAGGTCAGAGGCTGCTCCCTGGTATGCTTCTGGAGGTATTTTGCAGGCATTGTTTGGGTCCCTTTTCTCCTTAGAAAGAGGCATAAAGGCAGATTCTACAAAGTTGTTTTGAGATATCACCTTTATCCTATGATGATTCATTCTTCTCCTGAAGGGAGTGGTCTCTTCTGTGATGAAAACCTCCTCTCCAAACTTGGAGGATCAATAGAAAAGCACTGTGTCTGGCCTGTTTTGGCCTGGGTTGTGTCTAATGTAGCATGACTTTCCACTGTAAGGAATCTAATTATACAAACAAGCAAAAAACAGACTGGTCTTGGACATACTGAAGCCTAAATTGTTCCCGGTGCCAGGCCAGGGCTTTGAATGGCTGCTTGTGCGTGAGTATGTGTATAAATACACTGTGAAGTGATATAGAACCTCTAAGGTTAAAAAATATGTAAGGGTAGGTTGGCCAAAACATCAGTATGCAGTCTAATATCACTAAGATAACATTTTGGCTCCTTAAAAATGAGCAACTCACAAAATTTCCAGTTGAGACAACCATGCATCATAAATACAGGCAGATAAAAGATTCTGACATGGTCCAGGGATCAGACCAGCTGCAGAAACCGGCACTCCAGTGATCACGCTTCATAGTAGGTTTACATGAAGAAAACCAGTGTAAAAAGAAACCTGACTTTCCCTTTCCCTTGATTCGCGCAAGACTTAAGACTCCTATGTCATGGACAGACTAATCCGTCATAGGAAATTATGGGATATGAACAAAATATCAAAACAATCCTTACTGCAAACTTTCTTGCACTAACGATATACAGTTCTGTGAAAAATAAATTAGCTGCAAGTAGAACTGCTGTCAGCAGCAACTTAAAGCAATCAGTGTCTATGTGACTTCATCAGTCTTTCACATTGTTATGGAACAACTTTAGCCCATTTGTCTTTATGTTGCTTCACTTTATTGAGGTTTGTGGGCATTTGCACTGCTTTTTTTAAGGTCTCGCCACAGCATTTCAGTCAGCTTGAGGTCTGGACTTTGACTCGATCATTGCCACACTTCCATTCTTCTCTTTTACAGCCTTTCTGTTGCATACTTGCTGCTTGCTTGGGATCATTGTCCTGTTACATTACCCATGTTGGTTAAATCTTAACTGTTGTACAGATGACCTCACAATGAAGTTCAAGGTCAACTGAGTAAATCCAAGGTACCCAAGCCATGTGTCTGCTAACCAAGCCGAAATAAAAATCTTCCACCACCATGGCGAGTTAGTGTGAGATGTTTGTGCTAATATCCGGTTTGATCATTGCCAGTCATGGAACCTTCATTTCTACCAATGTGTTATGTCAAAGCTCAGATTATCAGAAGCATGTTATGTTAAGGCTTTTGTGTATCAATATTCAAGAGTTGCAATAAAATAATTTAAAAAAAAACTTTTATTCATTTCTTTTTTATTATTCAAACTTAAAACGCAGTAAAAAATAAACAAATGTGCAATAGAACGATTATTATACATTGACCTCAACTGATAAAACTGTAACACATCACTTGAATTTTATTAAGTAAAACGTTTAAGAACAATGTTTAGGTTTTTCAGTGGGGAAGATGGTGTAGTCTGTCAGTCATTCTGTGTGTTTGGAGGCCGAATAATTGAATCTTTGATGTCGAAGACATCTATGAGCTCCTGAGAAGGACAAAGCAAACTTTACAATTAATATCACAGGCACAAAACAAAATCTTGATTGTAGCTACCGTGCTTTTAATTAATGTGCACTTCAGGCCAAAACCTGCTAACCTTCCATATCTTTGGGCTGATAGAGAGGATACACTGTTTACGGCTGGTGGAACCTCCGGCTTCCACCTCCCCCTCCTCTACAGGAGCTGAAACATGAAAACATTGTTTTATTTCATTATTTACCTCAAGGGATTTTCTATGCTATCCCCCAGTCAGAACAGTACAAGTGTCACATCATCTCACCTATACATGGCAATTTCTCCTCATCAAGATACATTCTTGCCAGTCCATCCTGAAACACAAATGAAACTGTCATGCCTGTTTATGGTCACCAGGAGGCACTGGAGTTCACTTTAAATCTTTAGTAAATTCCATACTCTGATCAGAAAAGAAGTGTGAAAGATGTTCTCCACTGTCCGGGAAAAGGAGCTGGGGTCAATGACGAACTCGTAATATGATATTGGTGAGGTTGCTGTGATAGAAGGAGAGGGGAAAAAAGTACACGTGAGCAACTAATAGTTTACACAGCCATGCGATGTCTCTGAGGTCGACTTCAAACTCACGATCATCTTGGTAATAACTCTTCAGGTACCCCAGAATCCTTTCCACTTCTTTTTCTGTCGCTTCTTGTTGCGACTCTTCCATTTTCTTCAGCTAAAAGACATTTAATGACACACTGAATAAGTGGGATAGGTCCACAAAATTAAAAAAATAAATTTAAAAATCTGTTGATTTCATTTGTAAGAAATACAATTAGATAATAAAAAGTCAAGATATGCTCTGAAAGATGAAGATTACAGAATCATGCCATTTATTTTAAACAGATGACCTCTGGAAAACAATACTTATTCAATGCATGCTCTCATACATACTACACAGGACAAGGAGATGGGTTATTCAGGTTATTCAGGTTTATTCTCACTCAAAATGCTCGGTGTGTTATATGCAAACATCCATCCATCTTTATTTATAAAGGAATGTAAAAAAAACCATAGCTGGCATGAACTGCTGCAGAGTAGAGTCAGATAATGAAAATACATAAGATAGAAATAAAAACCAACCAAAAGGGTCAGATAACTAAAAGAAAAACTCTCTTGCTGGAGCTGAGAGCCAAACAAAAACATTTAAAGACGTATTTTAAAAGCGGACAGTGAAGGGGCCTCTCTAACATGTAAGGGAAAGTTATTCCATAATTTAAAGCAGCGACAGAAAAGGCCCTGTCCCCCTAACATTCCTTGTGGATCTCAGTACTTCCAGGAGCAGCTGGTCAGCTGACTTGAGAGTGTGTAGGGGTGAAGAAGCTCAGAGAGGTACGGTGGGGTAAGAATGTGAAAAGATTAAAGTTGAACTTTAAAATATACGGTCAGCCAGTAAGTGAGGCCAGGAGAGGGGTTATATGCTCTGTTTTACAAGTTCCTGTTAACATTCGTGCAGCCGCATTTTGAACCAGCTGCAGGCGCAAGAGTAGCGACTCACTGACTCCCACATAAAGAGAGTTGCAGTAATCCAGATGGGATGAAATAAAAGCATGGATCACTGTTTCAAAGTGCTGCCTAGAAAGAAAAAAAATTGACTGTTGCCAATCGCCTTAAATGATGAAAACTAGACTTAACGACCGCTCTGATTTACCGTCTAATTTAACATCACTGTCCAACTTCAAATCAAGATCACTAATAATAGCTTTAAAATAAACTTCCAGGGGTTCCAAATCAACAGAAGAAGATTCACAGGGATCATTTGGTCCAAATACCAACATTGTGGTGGATAATGTGGCGAAACTTTGTGTATGTGTGGAAAATGGAAACAGGGACGGGGTGGCTACTACATTTATCTTAAACTACATGTAGGTAACAGCAGCCATGGAAGTGTCATTTCAGTTACCTGAGTAGGCATTATCCTTTTGGCTTCTTTGCTGGGTGCTTTTCTTTGCCGTTCTATCCTTTGTTTTGGGGGAGGTGGTTCTGCATAGAACGAGCCCATCCTGCAAAGAACCAGAGGGATGAGAAACAAAAAAAAAACCCTGAAAATCAGAAAATGTATCCACATAAAACCACTGTGTTATTCCATCTTATCCCATAATTTGACAATGCGCCTTCTGTTTAGAACTTCTCATATGTAAAATCCACAGGTGAGGTTGCGTTGATGACATTTTGCTCACATTGTTGAGAGTTGTCCACCATATTGGACATGACACCGCCACCAGGGAGGGAAAAATGTGTCTTCCCTGACTGATTGGTGAGTGGTAGGTTGAATCAGCCATAAAGAGGGTGCCACACCAAAAGCCTCCTTGTGATCATTTTAGTCCTGCAGATTGCTTTGTAGTTTCCATGGAAGACACCAACTTGTCTGCAAACACTCACCAACTAACTCCATCGCGGTAGTAAAAAAATGACCACTGGGAGAGTTGCTGGCAAGTGTCTACAGAAAAGCTTCCTGCATGCAATCTACAGGCAGCTGGAGCAATCTGCCAGTGAAAAACAATTAAAAGAAGGATATTTGTGCAGAA